ATTGCGTGTCCCCTCCAGAAACAGAGGGTGGGAAAGGGCAGAGGGTCAGTCATAGGGGTAAAAAAAATATATACACACATATATATGTGAAACTAGAAATGGAAAATTATTGATGATAATATACATGATTAAGCCACTATGCAGTATATTCTGGATGGGAAACCACTTTTTTACATGCTGTGATGATGATTAGGGGATGAATGTACATTAATTAATTAAAAAAAAAGTTTCAGGAAAAAAATGCATATTTGATGATTGCAGTAAGCTATATAGCCCCAGCTAGGCACTACTTTATAGTATGTTCATTCTACTTACTGAGGTTTATGCCCAAAGTCAGACTTGTGTTCATGGATATGGATATATCAGCTGCGCTTGCTATTGGAAATATTCAGATTAATTAAATCCATTGGCAAATCAATAAAATGGGGGGGAAAGGCATAGACAGCAACCATGGATACCAGAGACAGTGTGGGAGGAGGGTGGGACACGGCAGAGGGTGAGAGATAGGGAATCAAGGATAGCAAAAAAAGGCAAAATATACAGGAAACAAGAAATGGAAAATTATTTGTTGATGATAACATGTATGTTGGTGTGCTTGATTGAGACAATATTACAGTGTATTCTGAATGGGAAATCTCATTTTGTATGCTGTAATGATGTATAGTGAATGAATGTAAATAAATAAATTAAAATTTAAAAAAAACCTTAAAGCCAGGAAAAAGGTTAGGATTCAGTTCAGATAGTGGGTAGATGAAACCATCAATAGTTCAAGAGAAGACAAAAATCCTTAAATATGGAAATCAAAGCATAGAAGAAAATCAGTAATGTTTCAGTCTAAAGTCAAGAAATTCTATTTCACTAGTTCAGACTCACGTAATTAATCTCTCTTCTATTGAATTTGCAGTGTTACTGTGGTCTGATCTTTCCATTTAAACTCTGGACTTGTCCCTACAATTAGATTGGACATTCTCTTGGTTGATTCTTTTGCTCTTATTTCTATGTGTCTGACTTTAGTTTCCTGGTATAACATTTCCTTCAGCATTTCTTGGAGAGCTGGTCTGGTGTTGGTAAATTCTTTCAGGTTTTGTTTACCTGAGAATATTTTTGTCTTTTTTTCCCATATGAAAGATAATCTTTCTGGGTATAGTATTCTTGGTTGAAATTGTTTTACATTTAATACTTTGAATATATTTTCGCATTCTTTCCTTTTTCCTTACATTGTTTCCAATGAAAGATCCAACATTATCCTTATAGTATATCCTTTGAAAGTAACTTGATGTTTCTCTCTTGCCAATTTTAGTATCTTGTCTCTGTCTGTAGTTTTGGTCAATCTGGCTATGATGTGCCTCAGGGAAGATATTCTTGGGTTGATTCTATGTGGGGTCCTTTGTATTTCTGGGTCTGTATATTTGAGTGCCTCTCTAGGCTTGGAAAGTTTTCTTCCAGGATTTCATGGAATAGATTATCGATGTCCCTATTAGTTTCTTCACCTTCTGAGATACCGATTATCTGGATGTTTGGGTGTTTAATGGTATCTAGTATTACTCACTTGTTATTCTCATTTTTTTTGGATTATTTTCTCAGTCTTTTTGGTGAATTTTTCTAGGTCAGAGGTTCTACTATATCTGAGATTCGATCTTCTGCATGGTTTAATCTGCATTTGATGCTTTCAATGGAAGTTTCGATTTCCTAAATTACATCTTTCATCTCTAACAATTCCATTTGATTCTTTTTTATGATATGTATCTCCTTTTTCAGATGGTGCAAGAACTTTCTCACCTCCTGAAACTCAGTGTCTCCTTTCTCTTGCATCTTCTGGAGTTCATTGTCTCTATTCTCTTGCATCTCTGTTATCTTCATCACTGTGAATATTTTAAATTCTTTATCTGACATTTCCATGAGTTCCTGTTTATTCTTTGTGGAGGAAGAGGAGTTATTCTCTGCCATTAGAGGAGAGATATTTTCTTCATTGCTCATATTTCTTGTTCCTATGTGGTGGTTTCTGGTCACCTGATGGATTATATGTTTTTTCCTGGGTCCTGGCTAGACCAGGGAGCAGGATGGTGAAATCTGGGCAGAGTGTCTTCAGTGGTTGAAATCCCTGAAAGAGGCCGCTTTTAACTGAGATGTAGATGGTTGCTGATTGATTTATCCATGTGCCCAGCATGAGTTTTAAGCCACTGGGTCCAGGACTCAAACTGCAGTTGACTACATGGGAGTCCAGCAACGTAACCATTATGCCATCTGCTGGACCCTATTTTTTTCTTTTTAAGTCAGCTTATGGAGGAATAATTTTCATAGACTAACTTTCTCCTTGTTGAAAGTTTGACTAATACATGAGTTGTATCCAGTTGTCACCCCCCTGAAAGGTCCCCTGGTCCCAGTAAACAACTGATCTGTTCTTTTTCTCAATAGTTTGCCTTTTGAAAGTTTCATAGAAATGGGTCTTTTTCTGCTTATGAAGTTGTCATGCTGCCATCCACCATCAGCCTCAGCTGTCCAGGATCACTGGTGTGAGCACACATGTGTGCCTTGTGACTTGATTCCAGGACCTTCTCATGTGACCTCAGCATCGTGGAGCATTGTGTTACCGCTGTGCTACTGCAGCTGACCAGATCTGTAAGTCTGTCTTTCTGCAGGTGACCAACCACACGATCCGAGACAGGGACAGTGGGAGGCTCAAACCTGCCCTCGGTCGTTCCTGGAGCTTTGTGCCCAGTACCCGGATTCTCCTGGACCTCGTAGAAGGATCAGAAGCATCAGGCAGCCAGCGTTCCATGTGTCTGACCAAATCTTCCCGCCAGGTGAGCCACCCTCGGCCCTGGGGGGACGTTCCATACCCATGAGCATCTTACAGAAGAACTATCTGGATGCTGGGATCCTGCAACAAAAGAGGCTTGAGAGGCTTATTCCCCCCGCCCCCATTTCTTCTTCCAGCCAACAGGTTTCCAGGAGATGGTAGACATTGGGACCTGGGGGACTCCAGAGAAGAGCCCAGCCTTACAGGGAGATCAGACGTGACTGGTACTATTGTTTAAGAGTGGGAGGCACCGAGGCCCCCTCACTTGCCTTCTCAGTGTTGCCTTCTGTTCACTGCCACCCAGCAGTTGGGGCCGCAGAAGTTCTACCCTTGTGGAAGCAGGGAGAGCCATAGGCAAAGCAGGATGCTGCAGTGGGAGGACCCAGAAATCCACGCTGGTGCCGAGTTTCCTTCCCTGCTTCTGCTGTGTGTGTTTCCAGTGGGAGCCAAGTTCCCCTTGGCTTGGGGCATCTCTGAAGAGACACACTCTGAACTGGACGGTAACCCTGTGTGTCACCATTATAAGCTGTGCTCCATCCTAGCACAGTGGCCAAGCCAGGAAGCCTGTAACTTTCTTTTGCTTCCCTTTCTTTTTTCAGTGGGGAGGTTTCTGTTTTTTAAAAACTCTGTAAGATGGGGCCCCCTCTTCCCCTTTACTCAACCTCTGAGTCACTGGGTTGAAATAACCTCGTAAATGCAAAACTCTTCTTCTATGTCTTGCTCTTAAAAATATAAAAAGGAAATTCCCTGAGCCTCAGAACCACCTGATTTCTCTCCGAGAAAGCTGTTTTTCAGTTTCTCCCAGTGAGGCCCCCAAGAACGGTTATTCCTCCTTTCCTGTTGCTAATTTGGTTTCACACACCTGCATGCATCACCATGGTTAGGTGAGAACGTGAGCTCGCTGCAGTCCCAGGGATATAATTTAACAGGAAGGGAGGATATGACCAGTTCCTGGTGAATCCAGCCATTTGTTTAATATGCACAGTGCCCTGTGGGGCCCCTCCACAGTATAGAGTAACTGGAGGTGCTGAACCATGGCCTTGGCCATAAACAGTCAGAGGAGAATTTGCACAGTAAATAGAGCCAGCTGGGAAAATTGATGCTGGCGTAAATAATACATGGCAAATCTAGTCCTTTATGCAGAAATTCATTGCTAGTGGCTCCGAGATGCAATATAATTACACCTCTCTTCCTGCCAGCTGTACCACAGCCTGGTGCCCTAGAGTATGAAATAACCCCCCTGTCTGTTACCAGTGCTGTGGCCATCCGTCTGAGAGCCGTAACCCTGGCTGGGAGGGGAGGACAATGCCAGAGAATGGAAAATAAAAGGCAAAGTAGAGAAATGCTCAGGATTGTGTACTGACCACACTTTTAAAAAGGAAGGTCACCTTTTTTGGTTAAGAGCCTGTTCTGTAATTAATTAGTTGTGTTTTGGCTGCAGGAAAGGGGAAGCAGAGTTCCATGCAGAAGATATGCTGGATACAGCAGGGTTAGAAGCAAGAAGCATAAAAGCATGGAGGATAGAGAATGGGCTACAAACCGGCAGCAGGGTGCCTGAGTGAAGGAGAGCAGGGTTGGTGAGCCTAAGGCTGGGGAAACACTGGCTTTCACAGAAGAACCTGGGGGAAATTAACCTTTCCGTGTCTTTGTATCATAAGTGGTCGGCACATTCCTACAACCCTATAACAAACAGTACAGTGTGCCACGAGTGGCAAACCTCTGCCACTCAGGCACAGTACCATGTGGGCATCCTGAGCCCATGGCAGACACCACCAGTCAATGGCAGACATTCCTTTTTGCAGAGCTCAGAGCATTTTGCTGTGTATCTCAATCCAGCACTCCAGGTAGCCTCTACCAGTCCCCTAGAGGTGGCATTCTAAGTGGAGCCATCTCACCCTGGGCTACTTTGCCCTGATTCCCGTATGTGGTGAGTCCAGATGCTTTATAGTTGACCAAGGACTCTAGAACAGTGCAGCTAGGCCTGTGAAGATCATCTGACATCATTTAACAGAGAAAGAACTTGAGACCCGAAAGGGAAACATGGCAGTCTTGGTGATAGAACAGGTACTAGACTCCCGATTCCTGGGCCAGGACCCTTTCTCTTCTCTTGAACCCCCTTCCTGTTGTTGCCTTTAATTTCCCACCCACACAATTCAGAAAGCTGACTCAGCTGTAGGCACCACAGCCCTCACCCTGGTGTCTGTTCCATTCACTGCTATTTCCAAGCACCAGGAGACATTTGTGGACCTTGTCTTGTGGCTTTGTGCTATGAACGTTGTTCCTAGACCAGGGCTTTGTCTCACCTGTGTGCTGCCACTACACTCCCACTCCAGCCTCACCACTGTGCAATCCCCTAACAGGTCTCAGGCCAGGCCGGCTTTCCTGCCCACAGTGCCCTTTGCTCTTCATGTATCTGCCTCTGCCCTTCCCTTGCTGTGTCTGGTGTGCACGCCTCTCCCTCCCTCTCCCTCCCACAGTTCTCTTTTTTTCATGCCTCACCTGTGGGCTTGCCAGGTGTCTCTAACTCCCCTGTACCACAGACTTATACTTTCTGTTCATGCATCTGCCCATGAGCCCATGGTCCACTCCAGGGGCACCTGTATCAGTTTTCCTTTCACTCTTTGTCCATTTTGGTAGCTTAGGGATTATTAAAAACATGAATGAGTGGACTTTGATACATTTTAAACATAGCAAAGGAGAAATGCAAGAATATTTCTTCTTGATCTATTGGGTCGTCAGAAAAGCCATGACATATTTTTCTGTTTTTCTCTGCAAAAATGTGTCATGACTTTTCTGACAACCTAATAAACAGTCAAGTCCCCAGAGTCTCTCTTTACATTTTTCTTCAGGGGACTGTTGTGTGTCCTTTTGAAATTAGGATTAATGTTGAGTCCCTGCTATGTGCTAGCACTTGATGACCATAAGTCAGGCACTTGAACTCTCAAAGATTCTCAGGCAAAAGGCCCAGTGTGTCATTGAGACTCTCCGCTGAGAGAGGTGTAAACAATAAAGACACTTTTCTCTGCTTACATGAAATCCAAGGTTGGTTCATTCATTGGCTCACTGTCTAGCACAGGGACTTTCCACCTTTTTGCAATGTTTTCCTTTTATGTTGGGTTGTATTCAAGTTTGCTGCCCTCATCAAAGCCTGACTTCAGCCATTGTAAGCATCAATCCAGATATGACAATATCTACAAGCAGGAAAATGATGACCTTATAATAACAAGGAAAACTCAGAACTTTTACCAGCCAAAGACTGACTTCATGCAGAATTGCTTCATGTACTCTTGTCTAAATCAGTAATGGCCTAATGGTTATATTTTTGGATTTCCACGTAGTCAGCCATGGATTGAGTCCTAGACCCAGTGGCTTGAAATTCACGACAGGCGTGCCCAAAATCTCAAAAGGAGAATGGCGGAGAAGGGATTGCGTCATGGCCATCCCCCATGGGGAGTGATTCTCACTTTCTGTCTCTGTTTCACTCTGTCTCTTCAGCAAGAACATGTACCCTATAGCAAAAATCTCTCTAAAAAGAAAAATCAGTAACTGGGGACCAGCAGTTAGCGTAATGGCTATGTCGCTGGACTCCCATGACTATAGTTTGAGTCCCGGACCTGGTGGCTTGAACTCACGCCAGGCGTGTGTGCATGAGTGCCCAAGATCCCAAGAGGAGAATGGAGGAGAAAGGATTGCGGTGTGACCATCCACCCGGGGGCTGATTTCTCATTTTCTGTCTCTCTGTTTCTCTGTCTTTCTGGCAAGCACATGCGCCCTATAGCAAAAATCTCTAAAAAAAATAAAAAAAAAAAAAAAAGGAAAAATCAGTAACTGGCAAGAGAAGTGAGGGCTGCTTTAGTTGGCTCAGACCAACTAGGAAAAACAGTCTTGGTAAGCTTTCCTGAAGCACGTGCTGTGGCTATTGGAAGAATATGGGAATTCAGTGAGGAGGATTTGGAGGAACTGTAACGGGTAGACAACTACTAGTGCCTGCAATAGTCTAGAAAGTAAGTTTATCAAGCTTTTAAGGCTCTTTATACACATCTCATTCTGACCTTAGGACAATCTCATGGCATGGTGACTCATTCCTTTTCAGACAATAAATGGAAGCTCAGTGAGGTTAAAGACACGAAGCTAATAAGTAGCAGCACCAGCATCCAAATTCCAGTCTGACTAATACTAAACCCATTTCTTCCCATTACATTCTGCCTTTGGCTGTAAATATGCAAATATTTAAACAAAATTCTTTTTCATACTTTACCCTGATAGCAGCAAAGACTGCACATCCCAACTTCTTTTCAGCTTAGTTCACCATAAAAAGCTGGATCAGAGATCTACTTTATCAGCTCTTTCTGATTTCCCCCAGGGAAGTTATAAGAGAAAATGACAAACACTTGGAGAAGGCAGATAGTGTTAGTATTAAAGAGAATTGGAGGTTTAAGGGGAAATAAAGCTGAATAAAAAAACAACAGAGTCTATGCATCCTTGAGATATGAGCCAGGAAGAGATAAGGGATTTAGATGCATATCCTACTAGGTTTTTGCTGCATTCTGGAATAGAATCGTCTGGGTAGTTTTAAAACTATCCAATTTTATGTGTTGGAAATGGACATTAAAGAAGGCTCCATGATGCATAGAGCTTAAATTAGAGTTAGGTATATTACTGATCAAAGGTCACCCTGGAAGTGGGGCTGTTCATCATTTTTTTCTTGTCCTATTGCACCGGCTAGACTAACTTCCAGTACTCAGTAGAATAGAAGCATCAATAGATACTGTCCTTGTCTCATTCTTGACTTTAGTGTGCCGTTTCCAACATTTTATCATTACGTTAGATGCTTAGGCTCCATGTAATTACTTTTTATCCAGGTAAAGACCTCATTGCATTTCTGGTCAGCATTGAAGGGGGAGCCCAGGTATTGGCCGTTCCATTTGCCACACATAGAGTTCTTCTAGCAAATGGAAGGTCCACATGCTTGAGAGCTGCTCTTCAGCTACTGCACAATTTTGACTTCTTTTTTTTTAATGTGAAATTATTATTTTTTTATTATTTTAAAAATTTATTATCATCTTGTTTATGTTACATTGAATCACGTATAACTTTACAGTGTATTACATTGCTTTTTCAAAGGGAATGCCATGCATGTCAGTCAATACAGAGACATTAAAATCCCCACTTCATCATTCAATATCTTTTCATTGTTTTTCCCGATCATTATTGTTATTATTCCAATTATTTTTTTAACCAGTCAATCACTATTTCTCATTTTGCTATTAAAAGACTTTACCCATCATGAAATACTTCTCAGACCAATCCAGTTGATTATACTATACACGTCATCATTAACAGGTAATAAGCCATATCTGTGTCCCACTAATGTCATGCCTCTCTATTTGTTCTCTTGCTATCTTCCTCTATCCTCTTCTCTTCACCTCCCCCCATTCCACACTGTCTTATCCTTGTTAAGTATTTTCACTGCTTTTATGTCCTCCAATATTTCGCTCTCTACCATGGAGTGCGGATAGTTGGTATGTATTAAGTGGCTATATACAATATCTTTCTTTCATACCCTGGCTTACTTCACTCAGCAATAGATCCATAGATCATCCATATTGACTTCTTGAACAGACCTTGAATCCCTGTTTTTCTCTGGCCTTTCTGTAGTCTTTGGGTGTAATAGCCTCAGTTTTGATTTGGGTTTTGCCAGAAGACAATGGACCTATGCTGGAAAGAATGCATTTCAAGTAACTTGGTCTTAGCTCTGACGTTTACTTGCCATATGACATTGGATGAATAGCAGCCTCTTTAAGCCTTAGTTTCATTCAACTATGAAATGGGAAAAGTAATTCCTGCAACCTAGAGTTGTTTTAGGGTCAGATAGTGTAGATAAGACACAATACGTTTCTAGGCATCTAACAGACAATCTCGTGTCATTGTAGGCTTCTGTCCAGGCAAGGCCAACTTTGTGGCAGGATGATTAGTGCAATCATACAAGGCTTTAGAAGGGCACCGCACTCAGTTTAATGTTGTATCGTTGCCATCTTGAAATGTTTTAATTTTTTAGTTTGCTATAGGGTGTGTGTGTTTGCCAGGGACAAAGTGAGAGTGAGAAATCACCTCCCAGGGGAAGTAACCACAGTGCAATCTCTTCTCCTTTACTCGCATCTCAGGACTTTGGGCACACATGCACATACACTCAGCTTTATTTATTTTTAAAAAATAATTACTTATTTAATTTAATTTATTATTATTATTATTATTCTTTAATTTGACCAGAGAGAGAAAGAGAAGGAAAGTGAGAAAACTGGCCGTCAAGTCCAGGATCATGGTCAGTCACGTGGCGCCATGTGGGGGTCCAGCACTTCAACCACCATGCTACCTACCGGCCTCTAGCCAGCCTGTTTTTCAAGCGGTCTGGTCTGGGACTGAACTGTACAGTCTGCCGTGGTTAAGGGATCCAGCCGCCTTAACTTTCTGCCACCTGCTGGCCTCAACCATCTTGAAATTCTTTTTATTCTTCTAATTATTTCATTTATTTTTTTATTTTTTAATTTTTTTACTTTTGCTATTGGGTACGTGTGCTTTCTCACCAGAGAGAGACAGAGAAAGAGAAAGCAAGACACCAGTTCTGTGGCTGGTCATGTGGAAATCCAGTACCCTAACCATCACACTACCTACTGGCCCCCTGTCTTGAAATTCTTAATTATTTCTAACATGAATCATAGACAGAGACAGATAGAACCGCAACAGGTCTTTTTTTAAAATTGTCAGACGGTATGTGCTCTTTCTAGAGAGAGTGAGCGAGTGCCTCTTAATTGGGTGCTTGCAATAGAGAGGACAATAGTAAGCACTTCCCAATGGGGCATGGTTTTGCAATCCTTTTTCCTCCATTATTACTTCCTTTGGGCATTCACGTGCATACACAACATGCCCATTGTGTTTAAGCTGCTGGGGCTGGGATTCAAACCAAAGTTGGCCATGTGGGATCTGGCTCACTTAAGAGCTGAGCTACAGGGCTGGCTTTTCCTGCAGGGTCTTGCTGCTGTGATCTACCCCCAGTGCTCAGCCAGCCTCAGATCATGGCCGTGTATATGCTTGGTGCACTCAGGGAGGTCTCTGGATGCAAACTGGAACCTTCCTGTGTGGGTCTACTTCTCAGAGCTTTACATTTAATTGCTGCACCACTATATGGCCCCCACATTCTTAATTTTTAAACGAGAGTATTGCATTGTGTGCTATGGCTGTAAACCATGTAGCTGGTCCTGTCTCCAGGAATGGGTTGAGTTTTAGTAATGGCGCTTTTGGAAACATTGTACTACTGATTTCTTAGGGAATAACTCCCTCAGAGAGTAATTTCCCATAAAACAATTAAGGTTAGCGTTCTGTGTATTTAACTTCCATTGTGGGTAATATACACAGCTTTTTTGTGTTAGAAGGAACACTTTACACTTTACAAAATTTATTAGGTTTTGAGAAATGTTGTTAGGAGGAGAGAGCTGGTGAAGTGGAATGATTTGGGATCTTGAAATCGGGAAAAGAACTAGGTTCAGAACTCTGCTGAGGCCAGGCTGTTGTGGTACAATGGTAACATAAGTGCAAGGCTGGAAGCCATATGGCTGATCACAGATTTGGATCCCCAGATGGGCTTGAACATACACTGTGTAAGCACTCAGGTACCCAGGATCCTGGGGACCTATAGGGCTGGGGAAAGGACACTGTAGCATGATGAGGGTGTTTCTATTGAGGGTGCTTCTCTCTGTCTCTCTTGCATGTGCTTTCTATCAAAACAAACAAAACCCTGCTGGACCCTTTCTGACTGAGTTTCTTGGACAAGGTAATGTCTCTTACTAGTAGAAATCTATGTTGTAGGGGACTTACATATTCCTTACTGGGAAAATGTATGTCTCAGGGGCATTAAAGCTAATTTATGTAAAGTACTTTTCACAAAGCAACTGGCACATAGTAGGTACTCAATCACCATTAATTCTTCCAGCTCTTTCCAGAAGTAACAAAAATCAGGGCACTAGGACTTAAAAGCCATGTATCTACTAATAAAAGAAATAATATGATTTATTTTTTTCACTACTGTTTGGGGAAAAGCATGCACTTCATAAATATGTATTGGAAAGTACTTAGCAAATGAGTAGAAATAATAAAAATATGTCAAAGTAAACAGCTCCTATAAATATGTCACTTGGTAGACAAATTAGTGTTTTATTACTACTAAATACTATTGCTCGCTGAAAAGGATTTCAGATTACTTGCACAATGGGTACATTATTGAGTGCCTCTGCGGAAGGGCACGATAAAGATGAAAAATAGTGATGGTGATAATGCCTAAGGTGGAGAAAGGAGGAGTATGGGTAAATGCAGCTCCGAGGTCCCCTTGCTTCAGTGATGTGCACATTATTTAGCAGCATTCTCATGATTTATCTGTAACATGGACCAGGGGGCCCAGAAAAAATGATTTCCATGGGATGTCGTGAATCCATACCCCAATTACTGGGTCCAATCAGTAGATTAAGTGCACTCTCTTTTGGAATTGAGCACTCAGCTTGTAAACTAAGTTTACAAAAATACATCTCTGGGTCTCATTCCCCACTCTCCCTCGCGTTATTCTGGAATGACTAGCCTTCCACAGCTATGATTTATGTCTAGAGAAGGAGACCTGTGATAGACAATCCTGCGTCTTAATCACAGGCCATGAATTCATTTCAGAACTAAGAGAGGATGGACAAGAGCCTATCTAGCGTCTCAAGAGAAAGGAAACTAGAGAGGAGGCAATAAATCCCTTTGTTTGAGGAGTAAAGCCCTGGAGAAAAGCAAAGAAAATGGGGAGTTGCAGCAAGGAAAGTTGTAAAAACAGTCAGGTGGGGAAAAAGATGGGCATATTTAATGCAGATGTGGGAGGCTTCTAGAAGGCCAGTCTTTCCATTCATTCCAGGTGACAGAATTGGTTTCAAATTCTGCTCTGCCTTAAGGAAAAAAAAAAAAAAAATTACCGGAGAGCATATGTACCTGTTGGAGAGAAAGTGTGAAAGCACACCCCATGGGGGATGGTCGCACCACAGTCACTTCTCCACCTCCCTCTGAGGATTTTAGGCATGCATGCACACACACCCAGAGCCGGAGTGATTCTCAAGTTGCTGGGTTTGAGACTCATAAACTGCATCTTCAGCCATGTGCCTTAACCACCATGCCAGAGGCTGGCCCTTCTGCCTTTTTGTGTGTGGTTTGAGGAATTGCTTACTATATAGATCCTAACTAATAACATGGAAATTATAGTGGCTCAGTTTGCCGGGTTGTTGTGAAGACTGGAAATAATACTTCTAATGTGGTAGAGTCTGGTAAGTATCCACACTTTTCTTTATGGTATTCCTTATTTTTAAATACAAACTGCTCAGAACTACAGTGGAGGATCTTAATAGGAACCTAGGAGGAATAAGAAATAATAAATAAGAAAAGTAAGTGTCCCTAGGCACCATTCAGGACAAAGATTGGAATTTGTATTATGTTCATGTCTAGGCATCTTCTCTGCCCACGCTAGTGATGCCCTGTGCTTCCCTGGTGCTTCGTTATTCACCACGCACTTCGCGCATTAGCTCCTTTAATCTGCACATCCACCTGCTTTTCTGGGACGAGCAAACGCATTCAGGAAGGTTCAGCACCTTGATGATAGGTACACTGGCGTTGAAAGGCGGGCGCCTGGCTGAGTCATTTTCTTTCTAACATGACCTTCCAGCAGTGTCCCATCTTCCTGAGTTGACCGTAGCTGATCTAGTGAGGTTTACTCTGGGAAATGCTAAACGAGGGAGGTGCCTTAAGGTGGGCCGTCCATGGGCTGGTGACCCCTGCCTGGCCTGGGGTTCCGCCCTCTGGACGTGGGACCATGCCCAGCTCAGAGCATTGTCCAGAGGAACAATGAGGCTGTGAGAGTGAGTGGGCTTTGAAGCTTTTACTGTGAAACCAGTTCAGACATGTTCCAGGACTCGCCCAAGCTCCCCAGCAAGCCGGGTCAGGGCTCTGCTGAGTCTCGGACCTGCACCCTTCGCTCCGGGAGCGGAGTTCTGTGACCAAGGCAACGAGGCGCGGGCGACGCGCCGGCAGCGGGGAACAGAAGCTGCTGGTAGAATCCCCGCCTCGGCCAGCGCCCGCTCCGCCCGGGGGGGCGCGCGGGGGGCGC